TAAACAGTTATATTTGTATTTATCGTTTGAACGTTGGTCGTGCTTTTGTGAAAGTTCTCGGGGACTGAATTTAAGCCTAGTAAACAAGATATATAATAGCGCTCTCTATACAACGACAACAGCTGCTTATAAGCTTCGTTTAAATCCCGTGTTCACAAAATGCGACATGAGCCGTTATCAAAAGACGATGTTGAAATATACCGTGGTCGGGAAATGCTTTATTTTGTTTCGAAAATGAACAGTTTTGACGCTTACAATTTAATTTTTAAACAAAATTCTACCAGATGTCGATAGCGTAAAATGTCTGTAATATATAAACATCACTTTAAAAAATGTTTAGAAATGTTAACCTTTTTATACCTTCATACAGTGAAAGGTTTAATTGATCTTGCAGAAAAAAACCTTTTCTGAAATTCTTATTTCAGTATGAAATTAAAAACAAATAAACTCGACCACAGCTTTACATATTGATGATAGATCGGCGTTTCAGGCCCTATTATTGGCAATGATAGTGCTCTAGTCTACGTAGCGCCAAAGTTCAATTTACATCAAATACTTTGTTCGTTTGAGGAAATACGAAGACAAGTTCCTAGAGAGACAACACCGAAAATATAAAATACTCAATTTAACATCAAATGCTGTCTATTTTAATCGGTTAATTCCTGTTTGTATTTTCACTAAAACCAGTTTAAATTAAACCAAGGAAACATAAGAAATCCGTTCGCTGTATGTGTTACAGAGTTCGATGTTCTTTGGGGAAATTCCTCTCCAGGGGACAAGAACATGGCATTAGTAAAAACGCTAGGCGTGTTCTATTCTACTGGGTGTTGTAATGTCGTCGTCGGACCATTTACGATCATTAGCCTACCACCACTTGGTCACGGGTTCGATACCTACGTGGGGCAGTCGCTAGGTACTGGCTAGAGGTCGGTGTTTTTTTTCTCTCCAGGTACTGTGGTTTTCCTCCACCACTAAGACAACAGGACAGATCCTTAAATGGCCATAGGGCGTAAAACACAGACACACCAAACCAATCATTCTTTCAGAACTAATACATTTAGAGGCACCTTGACAACGATATGGAATTTGTTTTTGAGAACAACGGTGCGTGTGCGCGTGTATACATTATTTGGGAGCATGCGTGGTCTCTGTAACAAAAAAAACCAATAACAGCCAAACTATGGCTATCGATATGATAAAGGAGAAAAATAAGCACATAAGGCCGATTGGGAACCTTTTTCCGATATGGGCTTATCTTTGATAAATAATATCTGAAAAGAAAACCATACCTTGCCGGACCTTTATGAAAAGAATAATAAAGGTTATATATCCAAACTACAATCAACAGTGTTCCAAACGTTAAAATTTAACCTGGCCATGCAGGGATTCGAACCCTGGACTTCAGATTGTTAAACGTCTGAGCTACCTGGCCAACGGCAGTATATCCAACACGACGTTAAGGGGAGGCTACTTTATATACGAAATAAATGTACCTAAGTACAGTCAGACAAGGATCGTTAACAGATGTTTCACGTATCTCAGGATCATGTGCAAATATCACACAAAATACAGGTAACAGACTGCTGTTCGTTAGATGCAGAATCTTCCTTACCTGACATTGAAATAAAAATTTCATCAACTCTCCCACTTTTGTGTTATTGATTTCCCATGATATCAGCGCGTGCTGACATGTAAATAATCTCACTTCTCTCGGGCAGTGCTTTTAATGGGCTTTTGCTGCGATAAGTGAACACCAGCTTCCAATACGAATCAGAATCGTTGATGTAGAAAACGAGATAGAGTGTAATTAATTGACATACTAGTTGTGAAATATTTATACAATCGCCGCAAACGGTTTTTAATTAAGAACCTTCCCGGCGAAGGTGAGAAACGCAGGTGAGACACTAATTAAGAATGATACAAACAAACCTCTCGTCACGTTCAACTCCAATTAGTTGGGATTCCCGGAAGTGGTGATGGTTGCCACGTCACGAAAACTTCATGCCGATTCATTGACAATGGATGAAGCCCATTTAAGAAAGGTTAATTGTGTATAAGTTCAGCCATCAGTCTCCATAGTTCGGTAACATCATATAACCTAGGACATGCAAATGAAGCGGAACTGGACTAGGTCGATCGCCGGCCGATCAGGTTAGCTCATTTAGATAGAGCGTCCGTATACAGTTTGGAGGCCACGGGTTCGAATCCCGGTCTGGTCGTGCATTGCTTTCTCTTCTCTGACACAAATCTAACATTGTTATGACATGAATCAATACCAATATCGAAAGGTCAAAGACTGGCCAAAAACGGGCCCATCCCTCACAATATATGACATTCAACACGGGTCTTATGTACCAAACCCAAAACATAAGGCCCAAGACGCTTTCCGAAACAGATCTGACCCTATCCCGAGCACCAAAGGTCTGCACGCTCTCAGAATACATCTCACCAGGTCCTTCATATAAATAAAGACACAGAACGCTCCCAAACGAGCCCGACCTCGTCATATACATCAAAGGCCCTTGACCCTTACAAAATGGATCTGACCGAATGCATAACACAACAGGTCTAGGCGCTCTAAGAATGCATCCGACACCATCCCCTCACAGAAGATCTAAAGAACTCTCAAAAATTGAGCTCGCCGTCCTTCTAAAGGCCTAGACGGTCTCAATGCGGACCTGACTGTTTCTGTGTCACTAGAGGCCTAGACGGTCTCAATGCGGACCCGCCTTTTTCTGTGTCACTAGAGGCCTAGACGGTCTCAATGCGGACCCGCCTTTTTCTGTGTCACTAGAGGCCTAGACGGTCTCAATGCGGACCCGACTGTCTCTGTGTCACTAGAGGTCTAGACGGTCTCATTGCAGACCCGATTGTTTCTGTATCACTAGAGGCCTAGACGGTCGCAACGCGGACCTGACTGTTTCTGTGTCACTAGAGGTCTAGACGGTCTCAATGCGGACCTGACTGTTTCTGTATCACTAGAGGCCAAGACGGTCTCAACGTGGACCTGACTGTTTCTGTGTCACTAGAGGCCAAGACGGTCTCAATGCGGACCCGACTGTTTCTGTGTCACTAGAGGCCTAGACGGTCTCAATGCGGACCCGACTGTCTCTGTGTCACTAGAGGTCTAGACGGTCTCATTGCAGACCCGATTGTTTCTGTGTCACTAGAGGCCTAGACGGTCTCAATGCGGACCTGACTGTTTCTGTGTCACTAGAGGCCAAGACGGTCTCAATGCGGACCCGACTGTTTCTGTGTCACTAGAGGCCTGGACGGTTTTAATGCGGACCTGACTGTTTCTGTGTCACTAGAGGCCTGGACGGTTTTAATGCGGACCTGACTGTTTCTGTGTCACTAGAGGCCTAGATGGTCTCGATGCGGACCTGACTGTTTCTGTGTCACTAGAGGTCTAGACGCACTCAGAAGGGACATGACTGTTTCTGTGTTACTATAGAGGTCTAGACGCTCTCAGAACGGACCTGACTGTTTCTGTGTCACTAGAGGCCTAGATGGTCTCGATGCGGACCTGACTGTTTCTGTGTCACTAGAGGTCTAGACGCTCTCAGAACGGACCTGGCTGTTTCTGTGTCATTATAGGGGCTTCATCTCTTAACCTGAATGCATATGGGCCCTCTGAATGAAAAAGCTATCCACCTCCAACCCAATCCCTAATCCCTATCCCATCAATTAGATAATTTGTGAATTCTCATCACATTAAAATGCTCCAAACCAAATAAGGTTGATATCCTTCCCATAGTTCCAGAGAAGTTATACAAATGAATATGGCAAAGTAGTCCATTTTGGTCCAACCCTTGTGTTTGTAAAATTTTTTCAATAAAATTCGGATTACATCCATCTCATAGTTAAGCTAAGAATTCATTTAAAGCAATATGGCCAAATTATCGATTGGTTGGCCGCACCTCTCGCCCCATCCCCCCTGGTGTTTCAGCCCCTCCATTTGTTCAATTTTGAAACTCCAATTTCTAAGGAAGATTCCAGTCAAATTGGATGAAAACCGATACTACGGTTCCTCAGAAGAAGTTGTTTGAAGAATTTATTGACAGAAAGCTGCCACACTTCGGTATAAGCTCAAATCACTATTGTTTTTGGACGAAGCACAACGAACGACAGGCTTAAGCAATTGCAACAGGTCACTTATTGACTGTAAACAGAACACACAGAAAAGATGACATATGTATAAATCTGAACTTTAATAGAAATAAACAACAGCCATTTAAAAATGAATCCTTGTATGCATGGATCTAGGATAAATGTAAAGTTCGAATGATATACGTACAACACATAACAATATCAGAGTTACCTCCCCTCTCCCCTTAATATCACTGCTTCAGTATAGTGATAGTTTGACAGACGATTAGGAACAGTCTCTCCCTTTTATCAAACCGTTAACTACAGCAAGATACGCAAGATATATTTACACACGTTTTCCTAGTCCCAGATAAAAACATTTTTTTCGAGGTATTGTTGGGAAGAATACAGTAAATAAAAAAATATATCTCTATTTCTATAACATTCAAAATTACAACAAACATTGTTATACCATAACTGCCTAAAGTTTCCTCACTCAGAAGCATTGGATAAACATATAAAGAATTGGTATATAGTTGATGTTGACCCAATGTATCTAAGGAAAGCAAATAAACTTGAAAGTTGCGGACTTGTTGGCAAGACCCTGGACAGGAGGTCAGAGGTCAAAACTTTAATTACAATATCATGTAACAATGCCTATGCCAGCATCTTACTCTCCATTCTCATACATCCGTGGCCTCCATGAAATAAAAAAAGGAAAAAAAAAAAGAAAGGAAACCAACAATCATACATACTATATGTAAATACACATACAAAGCTGTTACAAGACAGAGTTAAAAAACATATTTAACATGTTCACAACAAACACAAAGTTAACATCTCCAGATTGTACAAAAAAGAATAACAAAATAAAATTAAGAAGTTAAAAAAAAGAAACTGAACAAATATGGTTTAACAATATATATACATCTTTAAAAATAAAAAATAAATTGATAAAAGACACCTCTATTTTTTTTAAATCATCAGGGGATTTCATATTTATAGTACTACACACCATAATTCTTTGGTTTGTAAACAGAAAGTAAGACGCAAATGTTGTGTCAATAAACTGGTTAGATACAGAAACATCCTATAGATGGACCATAATCAGAATAGCATTCTAGACAGGAAGAGTTGTCTCCCCTTACTGTTTATTGATATTTATAGGATTATTCGCTATGGTATTGACATTGGAAATACAGTATTGATTTATCATAAGAGATTTGCTATTACCTTCCACTCATTCATTAAAACATTAATCATTTAAGATTCCATTTTTGTTTGGTCTTAAGATTCATCAGTTATACAAGACTGAAAACTTCATTAAAGTCTGGCCTATAAGGAGCCGGAACCTTTGATTGCCTATAAAAAGGTAACAGGGCAGATCTGCATGCTCTATGAAATTCACTTCAGTATTTATTGAACGGTGTTACATTGTTTTGCATTTTTTTTTCGATTGAAAATAACTTTGGCCAAAATCAATTGACTGTTAGGATTTTCTTTATCTTTCTTTAAAATCTATGGTAACTTGAAGACATCTTACTGTATTTTATATATTTCTTTATTTCAAATACATACACTGTGACTTGTGATAAGTTTATCAAGGGCTGAGATAAAAATAGAATATAATTTACAACTATTTAACTTTCATAAGGCACTATTCCAACCTTTGAACTGGAATGGTTCAAATGTGTCTTCAGGGGTGAATGAGTAAAAGACCATGTTCTTTTACTGATTACAAAAGCATAACCCTGAACTACACCTACAGCAGTAGTTGCTATCAAAATGTCTTTGAACAAGGCACTTTATCTTGATTACTCCTGTCAACCCTGCTGTACAACGTGTTACCAACAAGCTGTGGAAGTAGTTCTGTGAAGGACGGGCATCCTTCCATCAAAAAGACACAGACTCTCAGGGGCTTCTTACAAGTAATGACATCTCTCCAACCAAGAACTTGTCTGCAAATTGTTTTTGTAACAAATATCACACAAGTTTATGTTCATCTCTTGGGTCATGGTCGAAATTGTAGTCTAGATGAACGAAAGCTCGTTCTACTTCTGGTAATCGCTCCAGTTTCTGTTGAAGTGGTTCCCCAATGTCGTGAGCTTCCGCTAGTGTCATATCTTGGGGGAGAACAACGTCTACCTCTACTAGAAAATTGTTTCCGAAGTGGAATGCCCGCACTGTTTCCACAAAACGGATTCTGGAATCATGATTGATACATATCCATGTGATCTTTTTCAGAAAGTCTGGCTTGGCAGTGTGACCAGTCAACATCTTAGTTTGATCTGAAAAGAGAGACATGATGTAGAATACAGTAAATTCAACTTATAGTGATGCTTAGTATTTCCGATACTACTATTTTATATCCCAGGAACTTCCCCACACCCTGGAATACTCATAGCCCCATCCACAGTACCTATAAACTTGCACACCCTGTACCCCTCCCTCAATGTACATATTAACCCCCACTCCCAACACAGTACCTACCCTCACACACCCTGTACCCCTTCCTTAATGTACAATAAACCTCCACTCCCAACACAGTACCTACCACAAACATCCTGTACTCCTCCATTGACTCAAATACCGTTACCCCAATCCACGGTATCTACCCTCGCACACTTTGTATCCCCTCCCTCAACACAAATACCATTACCCCAACCCCAACCCACAATACCTACCCTCACACACTTTGTATCCCCTCCCTCAACACAAATACTGTTACCCCAACCCCAACAGGCGGTACATACCCTCACACACTTTGTACCCCCTCCCTCAACACAAATACCATTACCCCAACCCCAACCCACAATACCTACCCACACACACTTTGTATCCCCTCCCTCAACATAAATACCATTACCCCAACCCAAATCCACGGTACCTACCCACACACACTTTGTATCCCCTCCCTCAACACAAATACTGTTACCCTAACCCACAATACCTACCCTCACACACTTTGTATCCACTCCCTTGACACAAATTATGTTACCCCAACCCCAACAGGCGGTACATACCCTCACACACTTTGTACCCCCTCCCTCAACACAAATACCATTACCCCAACCCAAATCCACGGTACCTACCCACACACACTTTGTATCCCCTCCCTGAACACAAATACTGTTACCCCAACCCACAATACCTACCCTCACACACTTTGTATCCACTCCCTTGACACAAATTATGTTACCCCAACCCCAACAGGCGGTACATACCCTCACACACTTTGTACCCTCTCCCTCGACACAAATACTGTTACCCCAACCCCAATCAACGGTACCTACCCTCACACACTTTGTACCCCCTCCCTCCACACAAGTTACATTACCCCAACCCCAATCCACAGTACCTACCCTCAAACACTGTGTATCCCCTCCCTCAACACAAGTTACATTACCCCAACCCCAATCCACAGTACCTACCCTCAAACAATTTGTATCCCCTCCCTCAACACAAGTTACATTACCCAAACCCCAACCCACAGTACCTACCCTCAAACACTTTGTATCCCCTCCCTCAAGTTACATTACCCCAACCCCAATCCACAGTACCTACCCTCAAACACTTTGTATCCCCTCCCTCAACACAAGTTATATTACCCCAACCCACAGTACTTACCCCCAAAAACACTTTGTACCCCCTCCCTCAACACAAGTTACATTACCCACACCCCAACCCACGGTACCTACCCTCAAACACTTTGTATCCCCTCCCTCTACAGAAATAATGTTACCCCAACCCACGGTACCTACCCTCACACATCCTGTACTCCTTCATTGACACATACTGTTACCCCAAACCCTCTCCACATTACCTAGCCTCACACCCTGTATCCCCTCCCTGGACACAAATACCGTTACCGCAACCCCAACCCACGGTACCTACCCTCACACACCCTTGTACCCCTCCATTGACACATTGACACTGTTACCCCTTAACTGGAGCTGTCACTCGCCATGTTGGAACAGATATAGGTAGACTAAATTCAGAAACGACAAAATCTGTAAAACACTGTAGGTGTATCGTGACCTCCAACAAAATATTGTGTATCGTACCGTATTCTATATATATTGCGATATATCTTCGCAAGATATATATTGTTGCAGCCTAACTGTTATTACCCCAACCCTAGTCCCCGGTACTTACCCCAGCCAGTGATCCACCAGCTGATGATGATGTAGATAGAGATGACTATGGCTCCACAGGGGTCTATATAAACCAGGCCGTACGCACCTGGCACGTTATTCTGCATTTCCTTGGACCCTGGTAAAATATTGTATGGTCTTTTGCAAATTTTGTAATATACTTCATTTCCATAAAATATAGTTGTGATTTATTATACATACATGTATACAATAAAGATTTTAAATAGGTAGTTACTGATCATAATTTCCCTCATCTTCTCATGGTTAGTGCAAAAAGTTATCATGGTCATTTTCACATGTCAACAACAGATTATCATTCTTTTATACAGTTAAATCTAACACGGAGAAAATGTATTGAAGAGTGTTTTTGTTTTGGTAGTAAAAGCATTTTTAATTTCATTTTGCAAATAGTTAAAAAGTAACAACCATAAAATTATAACTTAAAGGCAGCGACATACTTTTCAGTCAATCTGGAAAGAACTTAAGATAACATCAACTCCATCCAATTGTTTTTGCAGTTGGAACTTCAGCATAGTAGCGCCACTAATATTACATGTCTTTAAATATTACTTACCTAGATAGCCACAGACTAGTGCCACAGAATTGGACAGAACATCGTTCCGATGGTCTTGGGCCAAAGCTTGGACACTTGGCTTCTGGACACGACGACATAACAGGTACAATACCAGTTTGATCACTGAAACAGAACCCATAACAGGTTTGGTAAAAGATAGATGGTGATCGATGCTAGTCTGCACAGAGGTACAGTTAGCTAACTCTATCAGGTAAACAGTTATAAACATAAACACTGTAGAAGCTGTGGTGACAAATGTCTATGGTGAAACTAGTGCACCCAGAGGTGTAATTAGTTAGCTGTATCAGCAATAAACTTACCCATCATAGAGGTTGTGAGGACAATTGTCTGTATGGAGATACTAGTCCACCCAGAGGTGTAATTAGTTAGCTGTATCAGCTATAAACTTACCCATCATAGAAGTTGTGATGACATTTGTCTGTATGGAGATACAAGTCCACCCAGAGGTGTAATTAGCTAACTATGTGGTATTAACTTACCAACTGTAGAAGCTGTTATGACAATTGTTGGTATGGTAAAACTAGGTGCTGTAGAATTGTAATTAGCAAGATCTACAATCTTTTCTGCAGACTCCCGGATCAGCTGTAGGGACGCCACACTCATGACAACTGATAGCACTACAATAGCTATAGGTTCCAACTTGGTTCTACCTGTTAATGCAAATATCATGCAGATTATAGACTGAATAAAATATCATGATTTTTTTAAAGTTATTTTACACAGATATTTGCTTTCACATAATCAAATTCATTTACCTTTTTACATTGTAAACTCATTTACCCCTGAAGATACATTTGAACTCATCCAATTCAAAGGTTGGAAAAGTTCATTATGAAATTTCAGGGGTGAATGGGTTAAAATGAACCGGTGAGTATCACAATGAAATTGAAATTCAGTAAAGAATCATTACCGGTATTACTTAATTTTGCCAATGGCAAGCATTGTTCATTTTCAACTGTTACATTTGACATCAGTATAATTCCTTAACATTTCTTCATATTAAAATTCTTGCATAGAATAGCTTAAATAAAACATTTTACAACAATATTTGAGCATCGTGTAAATGCACTAGACATTAAAAATGTTGCTGCATGCTTTCTTTCTGACAATAATTTTAGAAAGCTAAAAGGTATAAAACTCTGACAAGTTAAATACTTATTCTGACAGAAAAAAATATTTCTTATACTTGTCAGGAAATTAAAACATCTCAAAAATGTTGCTAAGGTTTTTCCTTAACCTGACAAGTGATAGATTGGCATGATCAATTAGCAGGTTAATTTGGTGAAACAAACAATCCTGTAAACAAAGCAATCATTTGTTCTAAAGTGTTGGTATTTTTGTGATACACAATTTTTTTTTACAAAAATAAGAAAAACCACAAAAGTGTTACTGTACTAACAAGTTCACTTTTACATTGAAGTAGTTAAATCTAATTTAAGAGACACCAACATAACACTAGCACAAACATTTACTCTGTTTACAGTATTTAGGTGTGTGGTCTTGTATGAGAGAGACCTACCTTGCGGATATTCGTATAGGTTCCGGTTCTTCACTGCTCTTGTTGTGGCCCAAATAACAATACCGGAAGCAAAATCGACAATGCTATCCACTAAACTTGAAATGACGGATATTGACCCGGACAAGATGGCTGCAGCCAGCTTTGCTATCAGCAAGATCTGCAGCACAAATTGTGTTGTTTTCTTCATTAAACGTCATAAATCATTAAAATACCAGACACTTAAAATTATCTCCCTTTTATCTGTGCTTGATATTCAAAATATATCCCTACTTGCCAACTTTATGAAATTTCCGTGGGGGAGATTCCACATGCTAAAAATTAAGAATCAATTAAATTGTGTGTACATTGTATATACCCCTTAGGGAAAATTAACACTTTAAAATGACATCTTTAGAGTTATTTTCTCAGATGTAATCAACAGATCTTTGGACATAGGAATAATTTATCGAATTCACCTGTTGAAAATGTTCAATTTTAGGGGAAAAATCAGGACTCTCTCTTCGAAATAGGGAGTGTTGGCAAATATGTATGTCAGGCATTAACAAGTAACTTATGAATATTTTCACTTGATGATTCTCTGAAATTCTTAAAGTGTTACACCTTTTTTCAAAATTGTAATTGAACACTTGACACACTTTTTCCTGTCTGTATACAGGCTAGGGATAACGTTTAGGATGGATTTAAAAAAAAAATCTTTGTATAGTGAAAGAAATGTAAATGTAACGTTTCACATTTGTTTTTAGATTTTGCTTCAAACTGAAATCATTGTGTACTTTATTTCTACATTTTCTTGATTGTTGTTATATAACATAAAATGTGACAGAAATGTTCTACTTTCATTGAAAATAAATAGGGAGAAAAAGACAAAAGTTGGTTTGGACACTTTAATAAGCCTTCAAACTTTCTAAACTTCCAAAAATGAGAATTACCAAAATACACAGGTAAAATAATATTAGAAGCAAAATTTAAGCACCTACCAAATTAGCAGCAAGACTGAGTTTAGCAAAGAATGCTGCATAGGATTTTTTTTCCTCGGGGTCAGCATTTCTTTCCTCTGCTGTTTTCCTCTCTAAATCCTCAATGTTCTCGTATGTCTCTATCAGTCCATCCTGGGCTTTGTAGTATGACCTGGCAGGATGGAAAAGTATGTTTAGAGAAGACCTTACCAGGTACATCATGGGAGAAAGGTAAATCAATATGGAGCAGGGTTCCCGAATTCCCTCAATGAGGGTAATTAACTCCCAAAACACCCCAAATGTCAATGTCTGCCTGATATTTATAACTAAGTCCCTCCGGGTACAGAATCTTGAAAATCTATCAATTATATCCCCAAATGTAAAATCATCGGGAACACTTATGGAAGATGGGCAAATCATTATTACTGAGGGGTAAACCAATGTTTGGTTTGGTTTGATTTGATTTTGTTTAACTTCCTATAAACAGCTACTGTCATTTAAGGACGAGCCTCCATGTGTGTTGTGTAAGTATGCATGTGTGTATGTGCTGGAGATGGGGTATGTTGGTGTACTTGCCTCCTTGTGATAGTGCAGATCTGATGCCAAATTTAAACCAATGTAGGAGAGGGGCTAAGTAATATAAGGGAGAGGTTTATCAAATTGGGAAGAGCTAATTATTATAGGGGAGGGGCTTATCAAAATTGGGAGGGAATTGTCACAATTGGGATGAGCTAATCATAACCAAAACTGGGGAGGGGCTATTCCGTCTTTGCGTATTGCAGAGTTATCTTCTCTTGGGAGCAGGTATTGATTGTTACGTCACTTGTTTGTGAGAGTAACGTCATCAATTTTTGAGAAAACGACGTAATTTTCTCACACAAACCAATGACGTAANGGTATTGATTGTTACGTCATTGGTTTGTGTGAGAAAATTACGTCGTTTTCTCAAAAATTGATGACGTTACTCTCACAAACAAGTGACGTAACAATCAATACCCGCTCCCAAGAGAAGATAACTCTGCAATACGCAAAGACGGAATTCTAAATGGGGGAGGATCCATTCATCATATAGATAGGCCAATCATCATGGGAAGGAGCTAATTATCAAGAGGGAGGGGCTAACCGACATGAGGGAGAGATTATTAAAATTTGGAATAGCCATTTGTCTTAAAGAGGGACTAATCATCATGTGGGAGGGACTAATCATCATGTGGGAGGGCCTTATTATCCTTGGACGGATCTTATCAATATAGGGGAGATGATCATTTGGTGGAGGGGGGAGGAGCTAATCAATAGAGGGTTTTATAAACGTGGGGAAGGAGCTAATCTCGACAGGTCAGGGGTTGGGGAGGGGTGGTTGGGGGAGGTTGGGGATGTTTAATTCGGACAGAAGACAGACCTACCTGATTCGCTTCGTCCAGGCTTTGTCCCCTTTGTCTCCTTGTTTTTTGGATGAAAACTGGTTAACAGACATCTTCCAGTCAGGTTCCTTTGTGATATTTTCTTCACTGGAATTTGCTTAAAGTGTTTAAAAAAAAAGGCCATTAGGGGAAAGCATAATTACTAGTAAAAGGATCAGTTTGCATGGATGAAAAATAATGTTTTTTGGGCTGTGTTGGATCACCACCATCAATAAGCTATTGTCTTTTATAAGGTTGAAGTATTTATATGGCGTGTACGTAATGTGCTGAACCATATTTTCATATTTTAGGGACCAAAAACAGCTTTATTGGACATGGTTTAAGTTTTTTGGGTACGCTTTAGGTTAAAGTCTTCTTTTGTAATGTTAAGGTACAGCAAAACCTTGTTATATTGCCACCATTGGTAAGAAGAAATATTGGCATTATAAAGGGGTTTGGCAATGAATTGAGGGAAACATATAAAGGAACTCTTAAGAAAAACATATTTAAGGGACCTTGAAATAAGTTGGCGGTAAACGAAGCTGCAAATGTTATGACGGCCATTATATTGAGGTTTTACTGTACATGTGTATTTCTATTGATATTTGCTATCTTACAACATATATCGCCAATAGGTGAGCTATGCTGTTCTCCAACAGCCCCTGTTTCCTCTGGCCCTGACACCAGACTTATTCATAGATAGAAGTCTGTCAAAATGTGTAAGTCTGGTGTCAGGGCCAGAGGAAACTGGGGCCAAGGGGATCCCCCATGATTTCTTTTAGATACAGTTACAATAAAGAAAATCCAAATACCAACATCAATTACACTTAAATTTTGTGAAATGAATTTTAAGAGGCACGGTAGTCAAGTGGTAGGACGCCGGGCTCGTGACCGAAGGGTTGTGGGTTCGAGTCACGTCATGAAACTGTGTTGTAACTTTGAACAAGATACTTTATTTACTCTGCTTGTTCCAATCTACAGCTGTAAATGAGTACGTGGTCTGGTAGTGCTGGAATTGTTGAACTCTAGCTGCGAGCGCCAAAATGGCACCACCGGCTGTATGCTCCCCAGAGAGTTGAAAAAGAGATTGGCTGGTTGCAAATGCCCAATAACCACCAATAATAATTTATGAACTACTTTGAGAGGACCTACAAGCTTGGCTGTGATAAAGCGGTATATATATAAGAACCTCAAATTATCATCAATTAAGACAAATACATGTTTAAGAAGAATATTACCTCCATATATCTGGCTGGAGGAAGGTACTACTTCTGTCATGCGTACACATCGGACACATCTTGACTTCACATCCTGGTCTTGTTCTGCGCACGATGGTGGATTGCAAGCATCAGCGCGACCCAAGAAATAGCTTTCACTTGGGTTAAGGTCATTTTCAGGCTGTGAAAAACAGATATCATGTTGAATATATTTTCTGCTTATGAAAAAAGGAATCGTCTCCAAATCTCAATTTCGATTATGTTTAAATATTTACAAAATACATGGTGTCATAAGAATCAATATGATCTTAGTATTTTAACATTTCAATAAGTTACAAAGCATTTCTGATTAATATATCACCTATTGTTTATTATCTATTTCCAATAGCAACGTTAACTGTGCCTTTCTACTTAAAAACTTGACAACCATGTTTGATCGGTTACTTCTTACAGTGCTACTGTGGCTGACAAGTCACAACTTTCTTAGTAATCAGTTCCCCCCCCTCCGTTAATATTTAGGATGGGGCTTTTTTGTCTCATTTCGGGAAGATTTAGAATTGTATAACAATTTGGGAGGAGATTTTCAGGTGTAAACTGAAAATTCTGGGTCGTAGGCATAAATATCATGAAATAGTTTCAATATGAATGGGGCCCCATTATTGGCCGCAGAAACAACACTGTAACTTAAACAAAGTAACATATATCAGACCAAAGGAAATCTGGTCCAATGCACAATAGGAGAGGGCATAATCTAGAACAGTCCCTGCAAGGACCATCAGGCTGCAGGGACTCAAAACAATCATAGAAGAAGCACTGGAGTTGCTAAAAGGTGACCTTCAGCTTAGTGATAGGATTACAGACTTGTCTATTTCTGTACACCAGACAGAGCACCAACATAGACTACAAAGAACTTGGATAACTGTCTGCAAGTTAAGTACCAGTCCTGTATTTCTCGATGAAAATCTGTAAGACTCGAGTTATTCATTAACTTAAATCCTTTCACCACTGTAGACCATAATGGACTCTTTCATATTAATGCATGGTAGAGTTCACTCAAGTTACATAGGGGTGAAAGGGTTAATAACTGAAAATAATTCTACATTGTAGGAGTTATCCCCCTTTTATACTAGAACCTTTTGAACTTGCACCTTATACAGGAACTTACTTCAGACTTCAGACAGTTCTAAATTATGTTGTGTTCATTGCCCTGACAAAGCCCTCTCCCTGGGCAAACATATATAGTTAACTCATTCACCCCTTAAATTTCATAATAAACTATTCCAACCTTTAATCTGAAAGAGTTCAAATGTGTCTTCAGGGGTGAATGAGTGAATGAGTCACTACTTACTAGGTAACTTTTGTTGATTAGTCCTGTCGTTGTTGTTGTTGACCTTGTTGTGTTGATATCATCCAACTCTATTTTTGTAGGTTCAGAATCCGACGCCATGTTGCTTTTTTTCCAGGACACCTATTTTTTCTAAGAAAATTTAAATATTGAAATGTCAATCTCATTATTTTTTGGTAAATTTTACACAGGAGTTGTACAATCTGAAACAATGTCTGTCCATAATCTATCTAAACTGTAAACAGATAATGATTTTTTTTTTACCAACAGTTATTGCTACCACAACTGAGAACAGAAACACAATTATTTTATTTTGCCTTAGATAAATACTGATGTTTTCTTAAAGACTATATATTAAGATTCTAAGGTGCAATCTATAACTATCTCCTTTTCATTATTTTTTTGATAGGGCAGAGATATCTGTTTGGACTAGATACAAAATCAATGTTAATGCTAAATTTAGACCATGGTGGGCATCTCAAATTCATTTATTGAAAAAGAAAAATGCAAAACTTGATGATGACAGATACAGGAACTTACAACTCGTGAAGCTTAGAGTAGTTAAAATTGGCTGAATAAATCAACACATTTTAACAACAAACTCTTATCTATTTAAAGCAGCTCTTACCAATATTGCTTTTTGTTTTCAATGTAAGACTGAAATAGAGATAATAATTCACACACTATGGGAATGTGAGAAAGTACAAGACTTTCTACAAAATTTTGAGTTCCTTCTTGGTGCATTGTTCATCCCATTTGGTTTTTAACAAGGAAACCTTCATTTTCGGTTTATTTAATCAAAATAGTATCAGTAGTAGGGTAGATAATACAATAATTCTAATTATCAAACAATATATTTACCAATTGAGATGTTTACAAATGTCATTGTCAGTAGATGCACTTAAGAACCTTATCAAGGACACATATTTTACTCAGAGATATATTGCTGTTAATAAAAGTGAATTATTTTTATTGAAATTTAATACTGAATGGAAAAATGGGAAAGTCTAATCAATGTTGCTTAAACCCTAGTCTTTGCCAAAATATGAACACATTAATTACTATAGAATTTTCTTATATAAACGTGTACTTCTAAATACATATATGTAAATTTAACACTCCTTGAACTTTCTGACACATCTATATAGCTGCTTTGTTTCTCAATCCCCCCTCCCCCCTCATTGTTTTTGTTTCTTTCTCTCTTTAGTCTTACTTTTCCGTCTATACCTCTAGGACCTGCTCTAACCTCTTTTCTATAACTTCTAAACAATGCTTATATATAACGGACATAATTTAACGCTGTAATTTAATTTGACCATGGCCATATATGCAGTTTATTATAAATGAATGGTAATGTGAGAGTAATAATGTTTATGCATGATATATTTGCATTGTTTTAAACTTGGGAAAAAAAATAATAAAAAAAATTAGCTGCAGCACTTGACAACGAGAGTACTGTTTGAATGGGATTGTTGAATTTGAAAATGTAAATATTAACCACGTATCTAAAGCTCAATTGGCAAATGATAAGGTTCAAGGAACCGGGTTCCATTCTAAAAACGAAAAAGCTCGTGATCAAGTTCAAAAGACTGTTGTGTTTTGGATGTCAATCCGACATGGTAACAGAAAAAAAAAGTTAAAAACATCTTTCAAGCTGACTCTGCTTCTTTGCAAAACTTACATCATGCGGTTCTAGAGTCGATAGGTCTACTTACTGTGCATCTTTGACAAAAACATATTAAAGTCTGACACACAAAGGAACACGAGTAGATTTACAGTTTAAGCTAATTGCATTACTTACACTTCAGAGATACACAGTGAAATTACCAGCACGTGAACGTGACAATAACCGGAAGTTTTTATTTTATTAACCGGAAGTTTACGTTAGGTTTTATGGTGCGTACTAACGTCAGGACAAGAATGTCAGGACCATCCTCAGTTTGTGTTTCACAAACACAATAACTATACGATCATTAACATATTTCGTGCTTTGTGACAACTAATTTAACCAAATGAATACGTATGTCAGTAATGTGTTTCATTTGAAACAAATTTCTTTAACAAAAATGCTTTCATTTTTCTTCTGTGGTTATTGGTAATCTCGGTGATATAGCTATTTCACCTAAAAATAGATTATTATTTTAAACCAAAAAGAACTGTTGTTCTTGCAAGCTTTTGGTGCCATGGTCACTTTTTCATTGCCAAATGGAGGAAAATAAAATATTTGAAAGGGTGTTGAAATGCAGGGAGACAATCCAATCTACAATCAATCTACTGCAAATACTCCATTATGAACAATAAGGGAGGTAAATCTTACTAAATGTTTCAAACAATGTAATTAAAATCGATTTACCACTCAATGTATTTCACTTTCTGAGTCTGTAATAAAAAAACAAAAACTATTTAAACATAATTCCAACACTAAAATGTAATACTAAAGCAACCATGAACAAATATTCTTACTAGATTCATATTAACTGAAATTTAACTATAAATATAAACATAAAATACATGCAAGTGGATTTTTTTACCTTCAAATGTTAAACATCCATCTTTGATGTCAGCCTGTATTTCCCCTGGTGTTAAAAGATAGGTTTCCTCATTTGCTTTGTCACTTTGTGACCAATAATTTACCTGTAAAGCACAAATGTTCTATTAAGATCTGTTCTTATCAAATTAGAAATTCAATACACATTCCAAACATCTAGTTTTAGTAATGTTGCAATGAAATCATACTAAACTGTACATGTATTTGCGTACTACGATGAAAGTGTAATGAAGCTATATATATTTTGTACAAATTTTTATAAAGTCATGCTCTGTTTGTTGTAAAATAGTCGGGTAATACGACAAGCAATATTGGCTCTGATGAAAAAACCCACTATTGGAACTTATGTATGATATATATATACAAAACTCAATAAGCCTTCTTGTATTTGATTTCATCACATACCTGTTGAATCTTGTTATAGTAATACAACCAATTTCCAGACCATGAAATACAACGTTCTGTGCAATACGGATATTGTATTTACCTACTAGCGTGGACTACTTTTTATGGGAATCCCCTTGTCATGACGAACTGAAAAGTTCCCGGTACTTGCAAAAAATATATCAAAGTTTATAAAATCTTTTTATCGAACTCTACCAAATACGGAAGGTATGTGATAAAAGCAAGACCACACACTGGTGTTTTTCTAACGAATAAGAAAGCACTCATTTATTGCGCGGACGTATATATTCGTCCGCGCAATAAAAACACAAGTGTGTGATCTTGCATATTTATACTATAGGTGTAATGACATACGAGGCTAGTACCTGTGATAACACAGGCCGCTTCTCACGAAAAAATAATATCATTTATATTAAGGGAAGTATTGTTTTAAGATTTTTTTTAAATCATTCACCGCTGGCCTGCTTATATAGTACAGAATCTGAGGTGGCGATATAAAAAATGTGTTGTTACGACTCTAATATAACTTTACGTTGCTATAGGTGTGTGAAACAGGGTTATTACTGGCATTTCAACTGATTTCAACATTTTAATGGCAGGATCGTCTATCTAATAAACCGACAGAATATAATTTGGATATATCATTGCTTGTTAATGTGGATATAAGCTTGTTATATTCTTTTTCTGAAGAAAACCCTTTTTTTCTTCAAAACAGAAATCGAAGTCTTACGCATCACAGTACATACAATACAAAAAAGTTGTGAAGATAAATTGAAAATGACACTGTGGACAGTATTCAAAAATAGCCTGCTATTAGTTGCATATGATATGCAAGAATTAAGCAACATATATCAAAAGTTCAGAGGTCATGATATTAAGACATCGACCTTTTCCCTCTTACAATTATTCATAACTATTTGAAAAATAAATATCTGAATATTTTATAAAATAATTTCTTTGACCATAAAAAGAAAATTTCTTTGACCATAAAAAGAATTGCAATCACTTAAAAAAATCACTTCAAAACGGATTTTGTTTTCAACACCATTTGCAATAGACAGCGTACAGGAAACACGCATTTTCTCTGCTGGTATATTTAGATAAATGCTACATGTACCATTGAGTCTGCAGGATATTTGACATTTCTTTCGCAAATAACCGCAGATACACAGATTTTATTCTGACTATAGGGATTTTGTTTACATATTCCTCTGCTGTCAATTCTATAATATAAATAAAATTTCGGTAATTGCTGATAATAACACAGATCTGCAGTTAAATGTTAACGATTTGTTTGTTTGTGTTTAACGTCCCATTACTTAAACAGCTATGGTCATTTAAGGACGTCCCAAGCTTTGCCGGTGGAGGAAAGCCGGAGTACCCGGAGAAAACCAACGTCTTGCGGCCACTACCTGGTGACTGCCACCACGTAAGCAGCGAACCCGCCACTCAGTTGTGAAGGGCTAGTGGTAGCAAAGTGTCAGAAGCCTTAACCGCTCGGCCAAAAGCTATATTATCAATGATACAGCTGTTTTTGTATCAAGTGATGGTGATGGTATACATGTACATGTATGTATAGTTGTACAATGTTTTCAATGTTTATGCGAGTGTTTCTTGTTTATCATGACTCCAATTTATTGTTCAACAATAAATCTAAAAGCTTGCGGCGCCTCAAGGGGTTCCCAAAAATATAATACCCATTATATTAAAAAACGTTATGATTATTCTACAATATTTTGAAGAATGACGGAATCTTAATGGGCAGGTTAAACAATACAAAAATAGAAAGCATTGACACTGCTGCTTAAAACCCACCGAGGTTATTTTTATAATGGTATCGAACCGTTGTACCCTTTTGAGTTCTCCTGGTCCGAAGGACATATCGCGGCGTCCGTCAACTTTTCCTTTAAAACGCTTCTAGTCCTGGACAGCTTTATGGATATTGACTAAAGAGGTATGGCGGAAAACTGCCCGTATTTCCCTAAGTCGGCATTTATGAAAACGGGGGAAAAAATTAAGGAGTAAAACATTTCGGGTAGCAAAAATGCATACAAAAGATACAAAACCAATTGAATATGAATTTTTAAACTGCTGAGAAATTAGGTATTGCTAATATGATACTGCAAATATAGCCATATACACTATATCTATGAAAGTGATGGGGTTTCCCGGACTTAAAAAAATACTTTCAACACTTTCCCATCCGAGGACCAACTTTTGAATAAACTTTTTGTGACCGTGATGTAATTTGCAAAAACAAATCGTATTACGGCAAAGTGGTCCTCCTTTGGGAAAGTGCTCAAAATAAGGAAAAACAGGGGTGATCAAGTTTCTCTAAACTGCGACCGGTGTTTCTCGGGTGAAATAAGTTTGTAATTGCCAATATCTATATATTCTATGTAGCCGAATGTGTAACGCAGTTTACTTGCGACTAGAAAATAAACGGTGCAACTTCGAATCCTCCTTCAGTTATTTTTTTTTTTAATATTTAGGCATGTGATCATTTTCCTTAATAAGGCAATAGTGTTTTTTTTTAAATCGATGGAAAATTTTGTTTTCATTTTAATAACATACCTATTGATTTATCAGTTTTGTTAGTAATAATTTCTTTACTATTTAGTGCGACATACTTCTATCGAAGCATGTTAACAAATCCCTGTACACGTGTACAGTACAGCTACGCTTTGTACATAGGTAAGACTATTTTTGATGAAATTTATGAATTGTTTTACCCTCCAACTGGCAATAGTAATTATATCAACAAATAATGCCGAAATACCAAATATGTGGTCTGTTTACAATAATCTATTCTTAGACACGGGATTCCGATATTGCTGTATAAAAATACCTGAGGACGCGTCATAACAGTGCACGGTTGGATGCGCGCACTAGCGTAACATAGCTTTGGGGAAATAGGCATAGCAACCCGCCATATCTCTTTGGCCTGGAGCATCCTTGGGCAAAGGGGACTACATTTTATGTAAACGAAGATTGTGGCCCCTTTGGTTGCAGAGAGGCGGGGCCCAATAGGGGAATTTGTGATTTGAATCTTTAAAATCCTTCTTCTTCTATACCATTTGAGTGATTTATCCAAGTTTAGCCTGGAGCATCCTTGGGCAAAGGGGACTACATTTTGTATAAACGGAGGGTGTAACCCCTTCTGGGTGCAGAGGGGTGGGGCTCATAAGGGGAATTTATGGTTTAAATCTTTAAAAACCTTCTTCTGTACCATTTAAGGGAGTTTGTCCAAATTTGGCCGGGAGAATCCTTGTGCAAAGGGGGCTGAATTTTGTATGAACGGAGGGAGGGTGCGTCCCCCTCTGGGTGGAAAGAGGCGAGGCCCAATAGAGGAATTTGAGGTTTAAATCATTAAAATTCCCATTGTTCTGTACCATTGGAGGGATTTTTTCCAAATTTGGTATTGAGCATCCTTGGCAAAGGGAAGTAAATTTTGTATAAACAAAAAAGTGGCTCCCTGGTGCAGAGGGGCGGCCTGATAGGAAAAATTGAGACAAATCTTAAAATTCCTACTTCTTATGTACCATTGGAGAGATTTTAGCAATTTGGTCCAGAGCATCCTTGGACAAGAGGGACCTAATCTCTTTAAAGGGAAAGTGTGGCCCCCTGGGGGCAGAGGGGCGATGCCAAAAAGGGGAAATTGAGGTTAATGTTTAAAATCCAACCCAATTCATGGAGGCAGAAAGAAGTGATCTACTGAGGGACGAGCGTTACGGAGAGACAGAGCCAGTTGCAGTACTGCATATAAGAATATTGTCCATGGTTGCTTTATTATCCAGGTTAGCGATACAGACCCCCTGTGCTTCTTGATTTTAATATTATTCATATGTTATTCGTGCATTTTATTTTATCGAAAATCATTTTGCAGCAATAATAAAATCCACGCCCAAAAATGTGTGTCCTACATCTATCTTTACGTGCATACCTTGGGCACGCTTACAGGGTTCGTGCTGCACGTTACAAGCTACGCGTGCGTTCAGCCAAAGCGTGCACGCGCGTGATTAGTCTCGTTCAACCAGAAGCTTGATCATCTCTATTCGGCGTAGCTTGCGCAGGCAACAAGAGTCTGGTTGAACGAGACTAATCACGCGCGTGCACGCTTTGGCTGAACGCACGCGTAGCTTGTAACGTGCAGCACGAACCCTGTAAGGAATTTGACAGAAGTATGTACCGATGTATGTCCATGTAACCGCCTACGAACTACATATACGGCTCGTGGTGAGTACTTTTAACTTTAAACATATTTTATTGCCAATTAAATTTTAACAACGGATTAGCACAAGTTATTACAACTTATCACAGCCTTCTCCCGTCATACATTTATACAATATTTAAATAGATACAAATTAGCAACATGTAAACACCATTTTGAATTTATTGCTGGATTTGATAAAACGATGCACATTTCTTAAAACGTAAGTGTTAAGGTCCACCGAAAGAAGCTCTAAATTTAACTCAACAGCTAAGGCATTCAAATTTTGAGACATACGTGGCGAGTAAAATACTGTTTTATTTCTTATGGTAAAATTAGTCCCGCATTGAAATAAGTGGAATATTACGGTGTGCTAATTATTGTCGTTATAATCATTTGACTTAAGGATGCCCGTACCACTGCCAAAAAAATAACAACGTATTGGAAACTGTTTTTTTGTCTGGCATGTTTAAAGCTTTGATAAATAATTAAAAGAAAAACATAGCATGCGGGACTTTTTTGAAAACAATTATGAAGATGAAATAGACAAAATCTAATCAACAATAATGTTATGAATGTAAATATTTTGGCTGGCCTGGATCGGGGTTCAACGGTGGTGTATGGGCCCAACGATTAACTGTGCTACAAGTTCATATCCAAATGGAAGTTAATGGGAGGTTACTGTGTTTACAGTGCATTGGGACAGGGATCCTTTAAAAAAAATCCCCTACGTGCTGTGTGTTTTGCGCTAACCACTTGGGACTTTGCTGTGTGGTCCACATTCCTGAACACCTCAGTTTAGGTCAAAATATAGCTGAAACAAATTCCCAGTTCCCCGTGGTATAAACAGGAAAGTAAAGTAAGCTTTGCAAATTAAACAAATTAAGAATATAATATATTTGTTTTAAATATTTTGGTATGTTTTAATGCAAGAAGGTATCAGCTTGAAACTTCTGTTGAAACCTTCCCGCTCAAATATCAGAATTGATTGCAATGAAAATTCAAACAGCGTTGTTTTATCACCACTGATGTAGGTTTCCCTTTAACCAATATATCGTGGGCGTATATAATCCGCTTTTCAGTGCTGTTACTGTCATTAAAACAGTGAAAATATTGTTGACAATAATCGGAACACATATTTTAATCTACAAAATCCTTGTGTAAAAATTTACAAGTCATGACTGTGAAGGTTATACACGGATTCCTTTAAATTAACATTTTTATAAATGTAAACTTCCAAAATACAGGCTGATCTAATATCTATTATTGATAAAAAAAAAAAAAACACTTTAAAAGGTTAGCTACAAATTGTATATATTCAAACAAGAATGTTTTGAAAAAATAACATCTTCTGCAAAAGGTGCACTTTACCAATATATTTGTAATTTTGGACTACAGTTTTATTTGTCCAAATCTATCAATATTAATTATGTAAAACATCTTTGTAAAATAAGACTATCAGCACACAAATTAAATATTGAATGTGGCAGGTATAACGATACCGAAAGAGGAAACAGATTGTGTACACTATGTAATATAAATGAGGTAGAAGATGAATTCCATTTCATTTGGAAATGTCCTTGTTATGCTGACATAAGAGCTAAATTCATCAAAAAATATTATGTAAACCGTACTAGCATTTATCCAACTGCTAAACAGTAACAGTTTATCAGAAATTAGAAATTTGGGTAAATATCTAGTGCATGCGAACAAGAAAAGGTCTCAACTTCTTTAATTAGTGGTTACTGTTCACTCTCCACTATATAATGTACAAATATAATACCTAGACATATTATGTTTGCATGGATGTAAATTGTATTGTACTGTTTATATGTTGTAAATGATAAGTCGGACGACTTAAAGTAATAATAAACTTGAAACTTGACATGTAATATTAATTTTGTGACCTCATCGCAAAGACATCGCTTTTAGCGCTCCAACCTGTCCCAACGAAGTGTTTGAATATTTACGCTATTTCAATGAACCCCGATAGACATAAGATTATGTCGCGTTTAAATTACTGACTTACGCCGTGCTGTAGAGTTTGGCGAAATACAGGTAAGTTTTGTTTGAACAGCTGAGGCAATTTATGGACGTAAAATACAGGTAAGATAATTGAGTTTCTACTGACAGACAGGTAATCGATATGTTCATGAAGTATTTTCGAGCTACTCTTTTGCATGTTTGTGTTTTACAGCGTGTTTGTTACAGCATGTTTGTGTTACAGCATGTTTGTGTTACAACATGTTTTGTGTTACAGCATGTTTGCTTACGAATATGAGAAAAAGTATCATCTTTCCGATTAAATAACAACAAAACTGACTCTGTGAAGTCAGCGTGGTTCGAAACTTTGCAATTGTATGTACATTTTGTCTGTTATAACTGTGTTATACTTTTGAATAAAATATTATTTAAAATATACAGGTTCTCGTGCTGTTGTTTTTTTATTCATGGTTTTGCACCTATGACGTTCTTCACAGATCGTGCGGCCTATCATTTGCCACTTGAAAGTGTAATCTCACTGAAATTTCATAACCTCGACACGGTGGAATGACATTTCACCTTGACGGAATAAACCCGATCAGGAACTATTGGCACTTTCCGTAAACGAGAAAAAAATATTTTCTCTTTTACGGAAAATGCCGACGAAATTAGTTTCTCGTTTACGGAAAGTGCCGACGGTTCCCGATGGGGGATACTGCCGTAAAAAAGGAGAAATTTGAAAGTATTGCAATGAGGGCTTCAGATAAAATGTGTTTTTCTGTGATTCTCCATAAACAGAAGACATGGAATAAATCCCAATATTCTGCAGGGAGCCAAACATAAATTGCATCATACGAGCATGCAGTTGGTTACGGCAGGTCAATTATTTTTAGAATCTAGACAGGTAAGACGTACGATCAACCGTATGTGCGCTATTTTCATTCCTTGCAATCAATAATTAGAGTCCTTGATAAATAGACGCATCTCAAGGATTTTGCGATAACACATATGTCGAGAAAACAAATTATCCGATATCAGAGGACCAAATTTCCCTCTCCCAAAAGATACGATGATTGTGAGGGGTTGGGCTGGAGTGGCGTTTGTTCACATTAGTCACCTCTTACGATCATGTAATGGGATACAGCAGGTCAATCGTTCATTATATCCTGAAACTGCATAGGAGTCTCCTTCAGGAAAACAATGTTACATGTATGCTATATGAAAAGTATGGAACTGCAGCACTACACGAGGTAACTAAATTATCGCGTTGATCAAATTATACTTATATCGATTTTAAAGAAAAAAATCTAATTTGAATGATCATCAATTGGAAAAAATAATGTTTATGCATCTTGTTCATGTTTCTGCGGTTATTTTTTATTTTTATTTTTTATTTATTTTTATTTATTTATTATCACTTTCTAATTTGAACTTTATGAAATTAAAAGCTAAAAAATCAAAACTGCAGCTCTATTTCATAGTTAGCGGTCCATGGTCAAAATAAATTGTCATAAACAAACATATTAACAGTTGAAAATAAAATTTCAGTTTATTGCTTCAAAGTTATTTAATTTTCAAAAAAATAAATTGGTTTGAATACACAGATAAATAGGCGTTCTGATTAAAATAAGAAAATGTAAAAAACGAAAAGATCAATTTGTCGCTTCATTTTTCAATGTGGACCAAATAAATTGTTGTGAAGTAAGTATTTAATATGTAGAGGACTACCGCCCTGCCCGCACCCGACTTTACAAACCTGTTTTGACGAACACTGAAATAAATTTAAGGTTATGACCTGCACAATTCAATAGGAGGCGATTACACTTGATTAATGAAAAGATCACGAGCCTAGTACAAAAGGATAACGTTCGTTGTTATCAATATGTTTGACTCGCTAAGGGCGTGGACAAAAGAGCTTTGAGTTGGCTCTGAAAATGTTATCGCCCGACCGCTACAATTTTCATTTCAAATCCTTGAGTGGAATGATCGCATCTGTATTTATTTACAATACATAACAATGGAAGTATACATATATAGAATTTGGGGTACAACCCCTTGGTCAGTAGGCTTGCGGTTCGTCGGCGGAGTAAAACCTTAAGGTAAGTCTGTAAACTCCTACGAAACGTACCTCATTTTTGAAAGAGTTCCAGAGAGAATAGAATATATCTTTTAAGATTTATAATTTAGAAAATGCTAATTACTTGAGAACACATTTAAAATGTAAAAAAAAAAATGCTTTATTTCTGCCGGTCTTTCTTTTACTCTCTGTAAAATGGCTCGATTTTATAATATTCACCGGAAACAAAAGTTAGATAACTAAATGGAGTCGAACCATTTTGCGTAAAAATATGCTTGTTATGAAATATGTTTCAAGGGCACATTTTTTATTCCAAAAATTATTGATAGAATTTCTCCATAAAAATATAAAATATGAAAGGTCACTTTTGCATCATTTTTTTTTATTAGAAACTTTATGTGACTTTTCATACAACATTTCCTGTCGAATGAGTCAAAGTGATAATGACATAAAATAGCGAGCAATGAAGAACCCTATCTGGTAATTAATGCATTCCTGTTTCTTATTTGACACCAGACGAATATATGACCATGTTTCCGTCCTTGACCCTGATATGTGCGGCCTTGACCTTTGGCTTAGTCCTCTCAGCCAGTCTTGATTCTGATTCCAACAGTCTTCTCGGCACCGACCAACTTCCGGACAACCCAGCGAACCACGGTATGTACGGTTCTATTGAAACACCCGATTGGGACATCCTCGATGTCCAGGGGTTACGCTCAGTTTTGCTGTCTACAACCCTGGTTTATGTCAATGTGCAGCACCTTGTGGATGAGACGAGAAGACTAGTTTGGTCCTTTGGTGTACATCAAAAGAATCTCGCGGTCGCGTAACGGTAAAAATTGTCAGGCTCCGAAGTCGGGCGTCTCTACTTTGTAATCTTCAAAGGACAAGTATTAGCCAAGTGATTGGTCGTTTTGTTTTTTACCTGACACCAATCATATAGCTGGCCGCGTGCCTTTAATTTTGCTATGCTATATTTCAGGGGTGTAGAGAGCGAAAGTGAGTGTAACCCCTGGATATCGAGGATGCGATTGGGATTAAAATGCATATCACAACATTTATGCTAATGATTTGAAACCCAATTGCTATATAAAACATTCAATGAAGCGCTTCATGATAGAAGTACGTTAAGACTGGTGTAATCTAATAGGTTAATCAGGTATGGGATAATCATGTCACCGAATCATTTAATTTTATGGTATTATATGCTCTTTTATAGAACTTATTTTTACTAAGATATTTATTTTCCGACATAATGCATTTTAATTATTTTCTTTATTCCTATGTAGATGGACACACTACGGTAACGCATTTTTTCATTTTTCGTTGGTGGTGGAGGTGTGGTGGTTTTGTAGTTTTATTATTCGGTCATGAATAAGCTCTAGTACTCTGAGATATGAAGCTGTCCATAGTCTCATTCATCCAGACGCTTGCTCACTTGTAATTCGTAGCTTGCACAGACAAAAAGAGTCTGGTTGAACGAGACTAAGCTGTCCATGGAGATTTGTCCAGAACGAGGTTTTGCCAAATGGATGTTGAGAACGAGGCTCTGTCGTATTTGGTGCTCAAGAGAATGAATTTGATTCTTAATCTTAATTTAAAGATTGATGTATTGATTTTTCTCTTTACAGAGGATTTAGAGTAATGTTCTCTTTTAATCATACAAATGTGGTATAACTTAGTCAGAACGCGGCTGTATTAAATGGTTTTGAATCATAGCTTGTCAAAATTGGTTAATTTAAGTAGTTTGAAAGTTTGAAATTATCCCGTTCATGTTAAATAAGGATAACTGTCGATAAGATTTTACAAGTCAATGCTTGCTTTGCAATTCAATCGAAAGTACTTGTCTTTTTATTTCTATCAATGTAAAGCAGTTCGGACATCGAATTGCTTTTTCGTAGCATACAAAATCCAAGACTTACCCATTTTGTCATAATTATATATTTTTATATTTTTTCAGTTCCCCGTGCGTAACCCCGGGGTCAGCGATGCAGACAAAAAGGTCATTGTTGACCTTCACAACAACTATCGGAGAGTTGTCGGCCAAGACGCTGCTAATATGATGAAAATAGTAAGTTATAGATTATTGAAACAATAGTTTATGTAAAATGATTTTACTTATGTTTTAATTCACATTTCTACTAACAGTAAAAGAAGCTTGTCAACATTGGCATATTGAAAAAGGTTAAAGGTTACCGATTTCCGAGAAACAGTGGTGATGTTGATTTTGTTTCAGAGTTGGGACGACGACATGGCGATGTCTGCACAGAGGCATGCCGAAACCTGTGGCTTTCATCATGATCCTCTCGCTAATCGCTGGACTAACAGTGAGTATTAAATTTATAACATTTCATATGTACGGTGTTACCGTTTTATGTTTTGTAGAAGAAGAAGAAGGAAGTGTTTACAATTGACTTCATTTTGTTTTATTTTAATTCATTATTATGTAAAAATAAAATTAAAATATAGATTTTAACAAATATTGAAATTTAACGGTGAACTGAATATTGATTTAACATCTTCAAATGAAAGCTTGTTCGTGTCAGTTTCGATGGCACTCTCGTCGATTGGTGTTTAGCTGCGGTATATGTACAAACTAGTTACCCATTTTCTTTGGTAAATTTTCTCTACAACTGAAATTAGCATTGCAGTAAATAAACAAATGGCGTTTTGAAAATTACAGTAAGTCACAAAAACGTATAGTGCATCTTCATGTGTATCAAAAACATCAAAAGTTAGATTCTATGATTTACATTATTTATAGATGACACGATCATGTTTAAAGCATTCTGGTGTCAAAAGTACCCGTCCGGATTTCATTAACTTTGGTTTTTAAACCCGCATGTTGCAACAAATTGTGTAGGGGTTATCTCCCTTTAACCATAGTCATTCATTATTTGAGTGTAAACGCACGTCCGTCCGTTCGTCTATGGTACTTGTTCGTTCGATATTTATAGGATAACAAGGCGATGTGTCGCGTGCACCTAAGGTCAAGGTTACATTGAGTTTGAAGGTTAAATCAATTATCGGACCGTCAGTTTGGACGTTGTGAAGATAGCTCAATAACATTTTCGGGATATATGTAGGATGGCAAAGCGGTGTATTGGGTCTGCACACCAAATGCAAGGTCATCATCATATTGAATTCAAGGTTAAAATACATTGTCCAGGCCATAACTTATGACTTGTTGAAGAAAGCTCAATGCAATTTTAATCATAAATGTAGGATTGTGAGACAGTGTGTCACAAACCACTTTAGGACTTATACGCCCTAGAACAAAGTTACCTTTAGGACACGCTCTACTTCAATCTGGGCATGTTTTCCAGAGAGCATAATCCATCAGTTATACTGATTTTCTTGTTTACGTGATCATGTGACCCTACAAACCATACATTAATATTATCCAATGTGATGTCTTTCAATTTGATGAAAACCCAACAATGATTTATGACAATTATCATTGCACATATGTTTTACTGATTATGTCACATATGTTACTGTCACTTCATGTGTGCACATGTGACCGTAACCATGATACACTTATTTCTTTGCTAAGACACACTTGGCTGGGCAGAGACACACGTACCCCACTCGGAACTCCTCTGTCGATTCATCAGCTCCACTCTTCGATGGCATTCGGAACACCTCGCCCCGATTCCAGTTCCTTCCAACGTAGATGAACGTATCGGCCGAGAAGTTCCGAGTGCTTCGATGGAAGGAACTGTAATCGGGGCGAGGTGTTACGAATGACATGTACCCATTACAATTACCATAGTATGTCGGTAACTCTTGGTTCACAAATATGGTCGAACATCCATTAATCGAATTTTGAAGATTCGAATAACACTACTTATATATTTTATTAATTAATCGAACTTTTATTAGTTGAACTTCTCGCTGTTTCGAAGCAATATCAAGGTACGTTCGTAATGAAAACATTTAAAAAAAAATCACAAATGATCAATTGAAGTGAAAAAACGACCTACATGTACATAACCACGGGTACAAGATTTGGGAATCGAAAATGACAAAGAAACAAATGTGGAATTCAAAAAGATCACCACACAAAACTACATTTTTTTGTAGTGTTTAAATAAACATGCATGCCTCATAACTGTTAATTCAAAACTTTTAGATTTTAAGTTTAAAATGGTTTCCGATGTCGAATATTCTTGAGCCGAAGTCCCGATATTTCGTTCTTTTTTCGGTGATCCCGCAAAGTTGGAAACATAGAAGTTTGACTGTATGTATTTTACAATGGTTACCCCGTTACACGTATACGGTGTGTTGATAACTATGGTGCAGGTATAATTACTGAGATGTACATTTGGGACGGCCCTGAGCACCAAAAAATTGAATTTCAGATTATATAACACATTTCCAATGTGTACACGGGAACTCCGAAACATGTATTATCATGTATATCCGGTTCGTTTTAGGTTTACCCGGGGTTTACATAGGACAAAACATGTGTGCCGGAAACAAGGATTGGCGCGAATGTGTCGGAGCATGGTACGCCGAGAAGGACAACTACCGGTATGGAGAGGGCGCCAAAACATTGTCGTGGAAAGAGATCGGTCACTTTACGCAGGTACTATACTATACAGGGAGTTACTATTTTATACAGGTACAGTTTTTTGGACAGAAATAAGTTAGGAAACACTGATAATGTGTTGTAGGTATATCGGTCAGTATGCACAGGTTCTTCATGACAGAGGTTTGTCACCATATACATGTTACACAAGATTGGTTATTGTACACAGGTTATATACAGAGGAACCTCTGTAATCCAGCCATCATTTAGTCTCGTTCAACCAGACGCTTGATCACTTGTAATTCGGCGTAGCTTGCGCAGACAACAAAAATCTAGTTGAAAGAGACAAGCCATCATCGTTCTTAGCAGAAAGTGACTGAATTGTGAGAAGATCAGATTACTAGGCAATCTGTATAATAAAGGACCAACAATTATTGAAAAATAGGATAACCACATTAGTGGTGGTTTGGTAATGGAACAACCGGATTAGCAGTGGATAGGTATTGGGGCACCGGAGGTTTCACATTTCACTTTTTGTTTTTAATTTCAAACTCGAACGCATCTTCGAAATTTAAAAATTCCGCTTCCGGTATTACATATTTACTCTGCTCAAAGGTATATATACAATAGGCTATTAGAAAGCGTAACCTTTTGATTTTGACGATGACCTGGACGACTAGTAAATTTTTGAAATATTATTATTCGTCAAAATGTTTTTGGTGTTTAATAACAGGAATCTGATGCAATGAACAGGCAATATTTTTGTGTTTTTCCCCCCTTGCTTTGAAATACTTTAATATTGAGAGAACACACTGTTCTGTCAATAATAAACATACAATATTCATCAGTTTAATATTAAACATTAGAATATGCGGAAATTGTGATACTGTCTCCCTACATTGGATTTTCAACTAGGGATGTACTTCCTATTTCCGTTTATCGATACACTCCTATGACCTTAAGCGGAATTCGTGCCAAGGACACTTGTTTTTTTTTCTCCCTTTTCTGTTTAGTCTCGTTTCTGAATCCTTATCAAATCACGTGAGCGGCTCGCCTTACTAAGGAATCACATGAAACTCGTAACAGAGGGGAAGTATACCCAGGAGGCGCATAACGCTCAAGTTGGCGCTTATTTGACGCTTGACCTTATTTCAAGTGCGGACATTATCTCTCATTACCAACATCATCGTTGGAAAAAATGCCACGAACAGACCGTATTTTCGTATTTAAGTGGTCACGTGATTTTGAATTACAGGGCATTGTTGGAAGTGTGCTATTGTAGTCTGGGGCGATTTTTTCGGGCCTTTTAGGGCATTGGGGTTCTATGAGACGTATTCTACAATAATAGAGAGAAGGAGTAGTGTGTAAGGGGTTGCGAATTACACGAGTGCAGGCGGAAATGTTAAGGGTCTTTTGCGACATGGCCGACAGGAACAGGTGGTAGGAACCTTAATGTAAGATAGTCTCGTTCAACCAGACGCTTGATCACTTGTAAGTTTCTGTTCGGCGTAGCCTCCGCAGACAAAATGTAAGATAACTCATATTTGTAGGTGTGGATTGTGGTATGATATTGTTTAATCTTAACGACCAATTAACACAATAAATTAACACACATATTGTGACACAGTTGAATATTAGGTGACGATAGGTTTGCTGGGAGAGACGAACAGAGTCAGAAATAAAAACGGATAGAACGGAGAAGATTGCGATCCTAACTGTTGCAATTCCTGCAGCGGTACCATAGCTTTAAGTATACAACTGTCAGAGTATATTTGACTGTCCGAAATAAGCTTTCACTCTTTGACTTAAAAAAGTGAACATTTGACACGTGTTTTGACTGTCCAGGGGAAAGGTTCTTTGAATTTAGAAACTGTTTAATCTCAAAGGTCAACTAAAACCCCTCTGTACTATTTGAGTGTCGCTTGCGCAATCATTTCAAAGGAAAGACCTCGATTCTGCAATGAGCACCATTAGTCGACTTATACGTCTGCCGTTGGTTCGTAGTTCGAGTCCAAATACAGTATTCAAACTTAAAAGAAATACAAAAAATCTTATCAAATACTTTGAATTTCAAAAATAAGTCTGAGGTACTGTTATGAAGGATCCTTAAATATTATACATGTGTGCTTATTTATTGTAATGCAATGCGAAAGAGAACCTAAAGCTTTGAGTGTCTAACAACGTCAATGAGCCCTATACAGTGGCATGTGTAAAAAAAACTTGGTTAAACAAACGCTCAAGTACCGAGAGTAAATTTATGGGATTGCATGGCCATAACAAACGCTCAAGTGATCTAGTGTTTAATTTTTAGCCATTCTTCCTTTAAAATTGACAGTATGCTCCTCCTTGTGACCAGAATCTATTGAAATATTATTTATTGATATCCTCTCTGTACTCAGTTTTTGAAACAATTCAACAAGAAATGTATTTTAACAAAAAAAACTTATGGCGGAATTGTCTTGGCTCAAATGTTTTCTTCTAAAACGTTTCAAAAATGACAAAAATATATATCAACATGCTACCGAATGGGAAACAAAGACCATATGCAGGAAAATAGTGACATAACGGCGATTTATCAGGCGGGAAAAAAGGGACAGTGCCGTAAAACTACTACACGAGGTGATCAGTTGGTGTGAGAGATGACAGAAGACAAATCGCCGACAAGTCGTAATCACCGAAACCTGTTGAAGTTACAATATGTCGTTAACACTTATTGAACACATTCGGTGGTAACATGGACGATTCTCGCGCCTCGCGGCACACGCTTTCTTGGTTTCTGGGGGGTAATTAGTTCTCCGCGACCTTTTCCCCCGTCATCTGTCGCCCTTTCTCTCCTTGGCAACGACACCTTCGAAATTCTGATCGTGGATGTAGTCAAAAAACATCAACAACCCGCGCCTTTCAGGCGATTAATAGAGATTAATAGAATCACATTTCTTGTTAGTGACATATCGAACGATGCCAATAATCACCGCGGACTAACATCCGGCGGTAATGAGGTTCGATTTGGCAGCTCTGTCTGGAGAAAAGTAACATGTTATCGGTTGAAGAGGTGGGGAGTGACTATTGATGGCTGCGTTAGTTTATTGAAACTGTTAGATAACGAAAAACCAGATTTAGCGTCTTTCAGATACATGTACTTTTTGTGGGCGAGGAAATGGCTAGACGGAATGATAATATCTGCGTTATCTTGTCCACTTACCATGACACCGATTTCCAGTAAAAAGAAATCAATCATTCAATGTTTTTTTCTATGAAAAATGATTTTGTTATACTTATCATAACTCGAGGTTTTTGTAGGTAGTACTAGTTTGTAGGTCTAGTTCCTAGGTTGTCTCAAAGCGGTTCACAAATTATTATCCGTGGTAATAGGGTCTTTGTAACCAGCCAATATCTTTCTCAACTCCCTGGGGAGCATACAGCCAGTGCTGCCATTTCGGCGCTCACAGCTAGCATTCTACAATTCTAGCACTGCCAACCCACGTACTCATTTACAGCTGAGTAGACTGGAACAAGCAAAGTAACAGTGCCGTGCCGTGACTCGAACCCGCAACCACTCGATCACGAGCCCGGCGTCATACCACTAGACTACTGTCCCTTTTACTTGGTTTTACTTGTTTGTTGCTCTTGTAATGCTGTTGAAGCAATTATGATATGTAAAATATCTTATAAATATTCATTAGTATTCATGGACATCTTTTGTTGTGCTTTTGACATTTTGAAATGGGCATTGACTAGAAGGTGTTATGCTTTATGCTTTCAACTTTATATGAACATTAGGACAGATAAAAAACCCAGAAATACCTGCCAAAGTCTTCAGTACATATCCTTAAGTAAGGAAGAATAATCGATATTTACTGTCTTTTCGAAATAAATTCATTTGGCAATGGCAATGTAGATTTTTTTTCTATAACGCAAACTAAGGGGCTGTCATTTAAAAAGAAAATACTTTTTTTTCAGTAAAAATGAAACATTTACACCTGTTCTTGAAAACAAATTACCACCAAATAACATAGTGGAAGTTCCTGTTACAATTGATTCTTGTTGTGAATTTCAAACGAACAATGCAAATATAAAATAAATGCGTTTCGATACCCGTCAAATTCCAAAAGCATTGTAAGCTGTACAACAGTTGTATCTTTGATCTTTATTTTCTTGCACCTCAGACAGATAGATATCCCACGTCATACCCCATGCCAGATTTTTCTATCTCGTCCTATCTGTCTTGTACCTTTACGTGACATTTTGCGGAATTTTTATACTGTGATGTATTCATCCGCGTGTTAACTGCTTAATATTGACAATTTGCATTATAAATGTTCTGTTTTGTCGTTATATGTATAGTTTTGATCTTTTTAGATATTTGATGTTTTAGATAAAATTAGTCTACAACGTGAAATACGTTGTAATCTATGTAAAGACGGACTACATTTTTACGCGGAAGCATTCAAATATAGCTCTAGTAGTGAAGAGGTCATTATCATTTGAGGCCCAAGGCGGGATACTTGTAGTTTTTAGCAAAATTGTATAGTTCATTTCGAACTAAAAGGTGCGAGAAAAAAATTCAGTTACAGGTAAAAGATTATTTTAATCTTTGTTTTACATTCACAATATTTGCAATATGGTAGTTGTACAAAATAGTTTTTGACACGTTTACAACAGGCAGCCTTAATACAATCTGTACAAAGTAAACACAACCTGTGCATACCAGAGTCTGCAAAAACGGTAGTTTCTACTCCTGCTTAACGCTTAGCAATTTAGCAGTGGGACGACTGGTTCGCCCGTTGTCAGTATAATGTGACCGAGTGGGTGTCCTGCTGGGTGTCTTCGGCAGTATGTTTCAGTGAGGTAGCACTATAAAGTCGGCATCAGTTCCGCGCTATCATAAGGAGACAAACACGAACATATCGCAGCCTCCCAAAACACACTCATATACTACACGTATGCATCTTGCACACAGAGGAGGCCGTCCTTAAATGACTATAGTTTTTGATAGGACGTTAAACAATACTAAACAGTACCAAAGTGTACATAGTAAACACAATATATACATTATTTCCTCAGGGTAACAACAGCATTTAAAGAAGTATTACATCATTGTGACCGGGGGATACACTGACATATTATGATATTATTTTAATTTAATAATACTCATTTCATTTGCTACAAATCTTTCCATATTTGGTCGGGTAATGTATCTCCTGTATAAATATTTTGACATAATTTCAGAGTATAATGGGTCATTATAAAATGATTTATATGAGGTCTATGTGGGGATAGGTTTTACTTGTAACTTTACCTGTACTAAGTCTATAAAATGTTTGTAAACCGATTAAACAGATGACCCTTGTCCGACTAGATATGAGCTTCACGTCAGTTTAATACGATAGCTTTAAGCTAATATGGTACCGCCTGCAGAGTAGGGGGGTTTCTGTATTGTCTTGATCTGTTGGACAAGAGCAACTTCAACATAGTTCCGAATGACGAAAGCAGACGACAACTATGGCGCGTCAACCTGACCATCTCATCTATTGTGCTGGTTTTTTTGTCTGCATAATAAATGTATTATATTACATATAATATTTATGTAAATACACGTATGTTTGATAGCTGGCTACCTGGCATGTTTCCCGTGTCGGATGTGGATACGCCGAGTGTGAAGGACGGAGAGACAGGACGTCATTTGTCTGTAACTACGCTTACGGGTAAGAAAAGTAACTTTTCAGGATAAAACGTTACGTGTGCATTCCTTAAGGAAGAGCTAAATTTTGAAGAAAATGTTTTGAGAAGTGTCAGTTTACATGATAAGTTGATTATATACAAAGGGAGGTTGCGGATTTTCTGCCCCTGCCCATTGAGTTCCAATTTGGACTAAGATGAAAAGGGAGAGAACTCTTTTAGAAATTATTTGTATAGTTTATAAGGGAGTCTTACTCCCTTATGTCGAAAACGTCGAAAACATAAATTGTATATATACAAGGAAGTCTAATTCCGTTATATCGGAAACACCTGAGAGTTATCCCTTAAATTGTATAGAACGCCATATACAGTGGTATATAATTGCTGCATATTATTTTGATATGTCTGCTTCCGGAATATGATGACGTACTTCCGGTATATGATGACGTACTTCCTTTTACAGGCAGTTCTACGATGACCTAATTCGCCCTTTCGAGAACGGAACTTCTTGTGGCGCATGCCCAAATACATGTGATAATGGGCTCTGTGGTAAGTGAAGCGATGAAAAAAAACCCTCACGATTTTGTTATTGAAATTTTCCTAGAGACGTTGAAATATGATCACGTCGATAATCCAGAACTCAATGATACGTTTATTTTAATTTAGAATATATTGACACCTCGTCAATCCGGAATTGCACGACAAAGTATAGTTTATATCATGATATAAGGACACCTAGGTCACGCGGAGCTATGAGATAGGGACATCTCGTGCACACCACGAGGTGTAGTGGTGTAAATCGGGATCTTTGGATTAAAAGATATGTGACAATATTTTTTTATTTACAACTTCTAACAAACATCTAGGTAAAGTGTAAACGTTATTTGTTTCGCACGTCATCATTTGCGTTGTAGGTTTTTATCTCACCTTCGGCCGTGGTCCGTGGTCCGTGGTCCGTGGTCCGTGCGTGGTCCATGGTCCTTGGTCCGTCATTCCGTCGTTCGTCCTTTAACATTTCTTCTTAGCGCCATTTCTCAGAGAAAGTGCTTAAACAATATTTTTAAAATTCTACAGGAATGTTCTCCCAAGTTATGCAGATAGTATTCTGGGACTGATAAGAAAATCCAAGATGGCTGACGTGCGGCCATCTTGAGTTTGGAGAATTGAAAGTTTAAAAGCACTATTTCCCGTGCAGAAAGTACTGAGGGATTTATGTTATAATGACATTCACCATGATCCCTTGTTATGCATTCCGAATTATTTGGAGACTGATGGGAAAACCAAGATGGCGGACATCTTGAATTTTGACACTAAAGATTTGTTTTTGCTTTTTCACAGACGGTACTGGAGGGATCTTTGTCGAAATTAAATATGTAGGTTCTTCTTGATAAAACTGACAATACTTCGTATGACTTCCTCTTATGTAATAGTACACGGCGTGTCGATATCAATTCTAATTTCACACTAAAATCCCTAAGTTTGGGGCATCTTATACATGCGATCAATTCTATTAGACCACACAAACTTTATACACATAAATATACGTAGACTATAAAAATGTCTAAACGAACAGAAACAAACTTTATTCCTAATGCTTTAAGAGGTTCTTTATGTTCTTCTTTAAAAGACGTGAATTTCGAATCCCCTTTGATTCCAGCCAAGCATGCAAGATTACATATGCGAACAGCGCATCGTACATTGTACAGGAGACTAAAACATCTTAGACAAAATAAGATCTATGAAGCACTCGAAATGCACTAAAATATGATTGACTGCGCAAGCGCAAAAGGAAGTCGTCTATATATCCCATAAGACATGACGGCAGAACATTGAAGTTGTTTGTACTCTAGACTTTTCCTTCACTTAACAAGCTCCTGTTGAAATGATGATTAAATCGGCTCTTTAAGTGTCATTCTGCGAGAAAATGATAGACGAGCTTCGTAAGGCAATGTCTTTGTATAGGTACAATTATCGCAGGATCGTGAAGCTTGTTAAAGTGAATAGGACGGCTTTCGTTTATTTTTTTGTTAAAGGGGAAAAGGGGATGAGAGAAGTGGTTGATTAGAAAATCGTCAGGTATTTTTTGAAAGAAGAATAGCCCACATTTTAGGGGGTGAATGTCGGCTTCACACGAGGACAATTATTGTTCAATTATACCGAATCGATTTCCTCCAAATTAAAAATGTGTGAGTTTGGGGTTTCGTATACTGAGTGGAGCGTATAGGACAAACGAAATACACTAACTAGTGTCTTGTTCGCGCGAATGTTTGAAGAGGTATCGACTTCTGATAAAGAGTTTCTGAGAGCATGCACACGCCGTATCAGTCTGAGGAGCTCTTCTTTGTAGAAAATGGTTACACTTAGCTCTTAATGGTTGAGCTGTACTCTATGAATCTGAACAATACGGAAAGCGATATGTAAAATAAAATAAAAATAAAAAAAAAGATATTTGAGCTAAGTAAGAGTTAATACTTACCTATCGTAACATAACATATATGATGATATTGCGCGTGCCGGGCGGATATGAAGCACACCGGAATATAGGCCATGGAACAATCCATATCCAATAACTCTGACATGTCCTTTACGTTGAACCGGAAGTAAAACGAATATGAGCGGCGCGTGTGCGGACGTGGTTCAATGCATTCGCGTATATATATTGGTCAGCCTGGGAGATGACCATCATTATTTGCAGTACCTACATACACAATAATCCGAATCAAGGACAGATATATAATACATGGTTTTTTTTTTTCATAATATACTTGCGCATTTACTTTGAAAAACTAAAAAAATCAAAAAGATCCTAATTGGGTTTTGACTGTGACGTCATTAGCATTTAGTACAGCACAGTGTTTACTGACACGTCAATGCCGTACGAGATCCGTCAGTCCAGTGAGATGATCGCTGTAGGTTTGACTTCTGGGATCGAGATAAACTTTTGTCGGAGCTTGAACATAATCTCAAAATAGTTACATATATATTGTTTATTTCACGAAACAGACTTGTGAGAGTATCGATTGTCAAAGTATTGTATGTTTGGATGTCAAATGTGTATGAAACGACTAATGGTACAAAATGGAAAAAGAAAGAAAATCTAGACAGTTGGAATTAATAAAATCCCCGTTTTACCCTCGAATCTACTTAAACAGGAGAGACAACCGGGTAACGACACGACAACATTAATTACACTCGAGATCCGTCTGATGCGGATCGATCGGTCGTTCTCTGCTTCAGCTTTTCACTTGTAAAAGTTCATTTACACTAAAAGTGCATTTTTGTCTTTGTGGGAGCTTTCACAAGTTAACACCGTCAATTCAATTATAGCTACGTACATATCTTCTTTCTGAAACAATTCCACTCTTACTTAGTCACTAAAAACTTATAAGGTCGAAGGTAATAGCTTAGCGGAGCAAACATTTTTTGATTTTTTTTTGCACGAATGTATTTTTGTTTGTTTATATCTGTTTGCCGATAATTTTACAATTCTAGTCACAATATCAGATATTGATTTGTTGTATTGTAAACACTAATACCATTTCATTAAAGTGGAAATTAGCATTACGATATATTGAAACTATTTTTTACGTTCAAAACGCTACAATCAACATACCCGACACTTGTATAAAACATCTCAACTCTTGAGATTTCCTCAAGTCTAAGATTCTCCATAGAGAATACATTGCTTGAGATTTTCCTTAACTTTGAGATGTTTTATACAAGTGGGCCCTATAAAGTATATTTACATTTATAAGCTACCTAACAGCACATTGATTTATTGCTCGGAAGTGTACCGGTTAACTGAAAAACTCAAGGGTTATCAGCCTTTACCTTGCCTTAATGTGTTAAAATATATTTATTTTATTATATGACTGGTGCTAATTCCCAGCCATGTTTGAAGGAATTCCAAAATGGTCCATGCCATCCAAATGTTTATGACATATAAAGTGATTAATCTCATTGTAAAATGTCATATAATAAAACAATTGTGGACTTAGTTTCGGTCTATCCCTGATTTTCCTCACCTAAAGTCCATAATTGTATAATATCCACAATCGTACGTTTGACTTTTGCAATAAGCCAAGTAATGCCCCGTTACTAGAATGAAAGAAGTTAGAAAGAAGACTAAATCTAGCTACCCTTTTAAGGTCCAAACTCATACTGAAATATATTTATCTTTTTATTATTATCTCATTACTTTTGATATTCATGGAAAACTCCGAACAGTATTTACGTTGACGGGTGATTTTGTATTGAATTTATATATAGATTTAGATATAGAACTATTCCGGGAGAAAAAATAAATGTATGGGCGTGAATTGAAATCTTGGCAAATCTTTATAAAACTACAACTACCCCCTTATAACGCCCCTGCAGATTGGGGAAAGAGAAGAAAAAACTCGTAAGAGGCCGCTCATATGTAACTGACTTGCAGAATCGGGGATTTGCGTTTGTCCCCTCTGCTTGTGGACACAAAAGCGACCAAAATAAATGTGCTGCAACCATTTCGAAACCTCAACGTTGGCTTAAGTGTTGAGCGTTCGCTCAGGTGAGGAAGGAATGTGCTCTGTCCCCATGGCGAATAAATCCTTAAAATTGGAAGTTGTTTTCCCTGCTTGCGTTCAGCATTAAGGGCAATGGCCGAATGATAAAATTGGTATAGCGTCCGTCTAGAGTTAAGAGGGTCCCAGGTTCTAACCCAAGTCTGGCCGTTACATTTTTTCTTTCTCTTGTTACAAAATTGGCGAGCTTCCCAACCCTTGTTTCAGGCATTGGGAGTACACTTAGCAAGGGGATACCCGGACATAAAAATATTTGTAGGGAGAAATGTAGCGGAACTGGACTGGGTCGATTGTCGGCGACCAGGTACCTCAATTGGTAGAGCGTCCGTCTAGAGTTCAGAAGGTCCCGGGTTCGAACCCCGGTCTGGCCGTTACATCACCTCTTTCCCCTTTTACAGGACGTTAAACATATAAAACCAAAATAAACCCTTGCCCCCGAGCCCTACCCGACACTGTTGGCTACAGCCAAGCATTGCGATCAAATTTTCGGCAAAATAGGTTAAAAAAATGGTTCCACAACGATTCTTTTAAAAAACGTAAATTTGTTTTAAATATTGATAATAATTTTTGTATTTGTGGACTCACGTTGGCTGAAGTTCGGTATAACTACTAAATGACAGTAACGAGAAGGGGCAGATCTTTCTCCACTCTTCAAAAAAGAATCGCAAAAAATGCATCTTTTTCTTCCGCCATCTATACATCTGCCATGTCCTGGTGAAAGACAGATTATGTCACTTCAACTTTTGGCGGAATCTTGTGTCGGGCACGTCATAGCATTGCACATATTTATCTTAATTACAATCGTAAAGCACATTCCCTCCATCCGTTGAAGTGTTGTAAACATCAATTCGAACATTAAAAGTGCATCTCCATTACCGGTATGGATTACCACAGAATTGCATTCAACTCTTTCGGGATGTTCTCGTCGGAGGCGTTAAAACACGAGATAAAATAGAATGAAGAATGACACTACCCATTAAGTTTATCAAACGTAGCTTTCGATTCCATTTTCAGTACACTAAGGTCAATCTAAGCACGAGTTTGTTCTTTGACATGGTATTATTTCTTATTGTCCATTCAATTTGACTGTTATATATATCCCGACGTGGTCATCGCGATCATTCGGAAGGCCTCTGCTGTTTTCAGAATCAGTTTAAGGATTTTCGCACAACTGCCAAAACTGTGACTTCGCGTGGGATACGTTTTTCTAGTAGGACTATACTTTTGAACAAATCATTACTGAAAAGCAAACCAAACCATGCGTTTTTTTATGGAAAATTATCGAATTACCCTGTGTGCAAGATGCATGCGTGTAGTGTATGCGTGTGCATTTTGGGAGGCTGCGATATGTTCGTGTTTGTCTCTTTATGAAAGCGCGGAACTGATGCCGACTTTATAGTGCTACCTCACTGAAACATACTGCCGAAGACGCCCAGCAGGACACCCCACCCGGTCACATTATACTGACAACGGGCGAACCATTCGTCCCACTCCTAATTTGCTGAGCGTAACGCAGGAAAAAATTATTGAGATGAAATAAACGAAATATAATAAATTATAGAGTTCCGAGTGTCAACAGTTAATCGGGGCTAGACCGGGATTCGAACCCTAAGTTCGTTGTTGTTATAGTATCGCTCTAATCGACTGAGGTACACAGTCAACGGAGGTGTCCAGGCCAAACTGTGCTACAGTTACATAAAAAAGCGAAATTAAGGGGAGATTATTGTAAATAAAATAAAATAAATAATGCAGCTTGACAGGGATCCTTAATGTCTGGTTATAATGAAAACACGTTCTTTTGCAGATTGTGGAGGGAGGATTTGCAACAATTTCGGGACTCTGGATTTAAAAACATGCACTTGCTCATGCCTGAAGTTTTATAGTGGCGACACGTGTCAGAAAAGTAAGTAATATTTGTCTTCGCGAATATTTTATTATGTATGTATATATATATATTTTTAAATCGGGCTTTAACAGGCCTGAAAAGGCCCATTTGAGGCGATGTTCTTAAATGTCGCTCAATTGGAGTATTTTAGCCTTCAAAAGTCCTAAAGTTTTAAGTTTTATTTCAGAAGATATTTAATCTGACCTAAGCCAGTCCTTTGATTAGGTTTGATATATTTGTATGGTCCCTAATCACAGAACCCCAAATTCAGTTCGCCAAACGCTTTGCATTTTTTAATTATTTTTTTGACAGATCTAATTTGATTAAATATAATATAACTCATCAGATTTTTAAATCAAACATTGTTATCAACGATTAAACCATCTTTTTTTACAAAAAATAAATAAAAAAAATGTAAACATCAAATTTAAAATTGGTGTAAGGGATCACATATCAAATTGCACGGATCTGGATTTGCCTAAAAAAACACTAAGTTGTTGCTTTTCCATAAATGAACGGCGTATTTGTTAGTCATTGAAGACTAATAAGCGTAGGCATTCTTTCCAACAGATAGTTTTCTAAAAAAAAGAAGATACTCCTTTGTGGTTTTAAAAAAGTGAAATAGCATCAAATTGCTTTTTAATGTTGTATATGAATTTTAGATACCAATTGTGAAAAAAGTAGGGAATGGATAATGAATGCACACTCTCTAGTCCATATCAGGATCCCCAATCTCTCTATCACTCAACCATACCTCTTACCTTTCTGCACTGTGTTCATACACATTCCCTTACACCCACCCACACTCTCTGGTAATGCCTAGTCCTCGTCTTCATCCGGTCATTTACATTGTCTTACTCTCCTCTTACTCTTGTGATTTCTTTTCACATGTAAAATATTATCAATCAAGATATTTTGCTGAAAGTGCATTTCATTATTTTGCCTGATTTTGGTACATTACACATTTTACACGATTCCCCCCCCCCTCCCCATAGTACACCCCCTTCGCCCCCCTCAAAACAAACCCCTCCCACGCACCAGCGCATCACATGACATGCGTATTCTTTAAATCAATTCTGTACCGAACATATATGTACATTTTTTTACAATATGTAAGTTAAAATAACTTGTTTTCCTATGCTTTTGTATCTTTGATCAATCAAATATGTTTTAACTGAACAAACTAATCAGAAAGCATATGAATTTAAACATAAATTGTTCCATTTTCTGTTTAGTTGATTGCAGTCAGACTGAGCATTTCTCGTGTGCTCGTCATGCCAAGGACGAATGCACTAACGGTGTCAACATTGCAGCTCTGTGCCCTCATCACTGCGGCCGTTGCTAAGCAGTTCTCACTTCCGGCCAGCCATGATCACTTCCGGTCACCATCTTTGGGCATTATTGGCGAAGTATCGCTATATTAATGATTCGTTAGTGAAACAAAGCACCAATCTAACTTTGATGTAGTAGAACTTCGGAGTCCAGAACATATTTCAAACATATTCCAGATTTTTTGTGGATAAACGAAACAATGGCAAAACTAAAGATAAATAGGTTGCTTAATTAATCGTCAAAAAAGAATTTATATTTCGTTTTATCGCTCTCTAAATAACGAAGTTCCACCTATTCAAATTATTGTTTATTTTAAGATACGTATACGGGCATTATCAAAATAGTATTAAAAAAATGATATTTAAATCAATGTGTTTTAATGATAGCTGTATATACTATTGATTTCTGTAATACATTTTCAATTATTTTAATTGTGTTTCTATATAATGAATAAACATATTGCAATTTATATTGGACGTCTCTTTTGTATTTTTAATATGTAGTGCTGTATCAATATGCGCTGTTTACACAAGAAAAAAACAACAAAAAAAACATGCTTCTTTTGAAAACGAGTCACTAAAAATGCTTCACACTAAAATGGCTTGCTGATCCATTAATCTAAGTTACCTCCCCTGATCACATTTCAAGCAAAGGAAGGGGACTCGTTACAATCTGGACCGCAGAAATGTTTAATATTCCAAATCATTATCATGAAAGCGTACAATGTGGTTCAAAAGGATAACTCCTAGACAGGTTATACAGTAATTGTTATATGTTTTAAAAAAAAAATGATTTTGGTAACTGGAATATTCAGCAGCGTTACATTAATGTGGGGCCATCGGCCTTCAATAATTGTGTTTTCATATTGTTTTCCTTTCAATGGTGTCTATATTTGAACAAAAAGTACATGCAACAGTTGTAATAAGGGAATTGTTTTGAATATATTGATTTCCTATATACACGTAACCCCTTTCTGTAGTAAATGGGCAAAGCAGCTACAGGTAAGAAATATGAGCAAGATACATGTATATCGAACCAGATTGCATATCCCAGTTCGGGTTGTGTGAATAATGTAACCGGGATAGATTTCATGATTCCGTCACAAGCTTATAACATTTCAGTACTTTAATGTGTTGATCGTCTATATACATTTATTACTTCGAGATGGCGCAAAAATAAAAAACCAAAAGAATGCACAATGGATATAATTTTTTGAAATGTATTTATTTTACAACAATTTTTTAATCTTTCTTTAAATCACTTTTGGTTGCCCATATTAAGGCGCACATTATGTCTTAATATGGAAGTGAACTGGAGTACCCGGGACTAAACCCCACGTGGTCGTACAAGTGAGCCCATACCTTTTCACGTCCTATTGGGAAATCGAACCCCGGCTGTCAACAAGAATGACAAGTGGCTAACCACTGCGCCATCGAGCCTTCCCATGATTCATAGGGCGTCACACGTCGACATGATTTCTATTCTCTACACGAGTGGCGCAGACCTTAAACCCTAAAAAAACAAAGCCACATTGTGAAAAATATTTCCGTACATGGAATTGAGACAGGTTGTTTATCAACAATTATACCCGTCAATGTTTGTTGTCGTAAATACTTGTCGTGGCCATTGTACAAGTTTGAAATGACAGGCACTGTGTGCTAATAGGACACAAATAGACAGACTGGCGTGGCTAAACAGCCTTGAGCGGTGAACTTGAAACACCGGAAATGCTTTGGTTTTAATTGCACAGACAGACACCGATGGTCATGCCAACAACGTTTGGCATTGTTTTACAGCTCCTCGGATACAGTCCTGTCCTGTTTGATGAACCGGAAGTATAATGCTGTCACCATCGTGCATACTGAACAGTCATTAAGTACAGGGTTGCTAGAAGCTTGCAGGGATGTATGTACGTTGCATGAAGCTAAAAGAATATTTCAAACGACTTCATATTACACTGATACGGGTTTCGACGAGTTAGGCAAGTTCAGTTGTATTCATTTGAGATTCTTCTTATGATATGGTCAAGCAAAGCATGTACTTTCACATTTTGTGAACATACCACCAGCGTTGCCAAAGCTTTGGATTTTTGACGTTCTTTATGACGTCATAATGGGGGATGAGATATATATTTATCATCTATATACTACTTTATACCACCTACCGGTAGTATGATAAAGTCATTATCATTGGTTGTCAGTATGAGAAGAAGTTGAGAACGACTTATGAACGACTTGAGAACAACTTGAGAACGGATTTTTCCATTCGCCAGCATTTGGGAACGTAATTTCCTTAAAAAAGAACGTCTGCTCGCGTCCGAAACCGGAAAAAGTGTCCACACAAAAGTGATCCGCGTAAGAAAATAGTCCGTCATAAACATATAAATACTAAGTTACGGAAAAATATTGTAAGAATAACAATACCATTCCAGGTGTAAATGTGCTAATGGTAAAGCCAATGGCGATAGAATTGCTTAAAAAATAAATGCTTCTAAGTACTTTTAAGGTTCATTGTATTCCTCCGCGCAAATCTTCTATTTGTTTACATTTGTCAAGGGCTATCGTTGACCATTGAGTTTAGAAGTCATTTGGAAAACATGGGATTTAGTTGAGTTTTTCAAATGGAGAAATATATAAGGTAGTAGTATATAGATAATAAATAGTTTATCATACAGTATTTTCAGTGTTTGTTGTTCAAACAATTTTCTCATCGCTCGCAAATAGATAAAATCTCGAGTCCGCCTTCGGTGGCCTCTCGATATTATCCACGTGCTCGCGATGAAAAAGCTGTTCTCAAGACAAACCTGAAAATACAGCGTGATAATCTATAATTATCACATAATGTAGTTTCTAGTGAATATACCATGTCATGTTTTTTTGCGTATTAACCCATGTAATATGACCTATAAGCCCTGTGATAGGTTGTGTGTTTCAAATGTGACGTCACGCTTAGAACAAGTACATGACGTTACAGACTTACGCACTGGAGTCAAAATGGCGGCTTTTTACATTTCAAGGTTGCATGAATAGTGTCGCTTTACACGAATAAATGCCACAAATCCTGATTATGTTATAAAAAGGATCTTACAGTCGTTTTCATTTAATTTTATGAAACTCGTCACGATTTTTTTATTTTAGCTCGCCAGAGGCTCGCTTAATTGAATAATTCTTTGACTCGTTTCATAAATCTCATATGAAATGGAAACTCATGTAAGATCCTATATATATGATCCGAAAATTCTCAAGATGGTACATTACATCGCGTGGACCGCGGTGGCCAAGTGATGAAGGCATCTGACATTCTGCTTCCACTAGCCCTCCACCACTGGGTCGCGGTTTCGAGGCGTACGTGGGACAGTCGCCAGGTCTACGGGAACTCCGGTTTTCCTCCACCACCACCATCTGGCACGTCCTTAAATGGCCATAACTGTTAATTAATAGGACGTAAACCACAAACATAACATAGCAGACTGAATATATCGCAAACATTCTTTCGGAGTACATGTATTAGCGTAATAACCAAATACTATGGCATTAAACAAGGCGGTATAACGTTTGAGCGTGGACCAGTTTATATTATTGTTGTCATCAGTAACATAACTATTCTCTGGCGCTCAACAACATTCAGAAATACTTTTCTCGCAGTCAATACAATTCGAGGATTCCGCAGAAAGAGCTTTGTCAGGCGCTAAATACCGGTCATATGCCACCTTGTTAAATACCTCAACTGTTATGCTTCCTATGTCATCTTTTTCCACAGTGTCACGTCATTTAAATATCAAAGCACATACAATGTAAAACGAACCCACACCATTAATACTCCACTGTGTTTAATGTTCTATAGTACACGGCTTTGGACCAATTGTTTGGGATGTTGACATTGTAAGACACGTGTGTTTGGTTATGATCAATATACCCGTCACAACGAAGGGTTCAGTGTTATTTTTTTTACCTGACGGAGAGATTAAGATGTATACCTTTTAAAAACATTGAATTATCAATACAGCGCGTTTTTTAAACGCTGCAGGAAAGGTTTGTATTTTTGTTTAGGTTCTTATAGATCCTTGCAATTGAATCTTGATTGAGAGGTTGGTTTGCCTGGCAGATTTGTTCCGTTTGGACACACTCTTTATATACATATGATCGATTGAGTCAAATATTTTCAGTTTGATGTATAAGCAGCGTACAAGTTGGAAAGTTCTTCAATTTCTTTCAATGGAATCCGGAAACGGACAGAATACAGCAACACGAATCGAAATCTTACAAGAGTTAGATTTTCATTTATTACAACATTTATGCCCATTACAAACATTCTGAAGAAGATGGCAGCCCTTATTCAGAAAACATTCCACCTAGCTATATTCACGGTCACAAAAACATGTTCGTGCATATCGCGACTCTCGTAAATAATTCAATGCATATGACACTTTTGCCAACTACAGATATGCTAGTTCATTTAAATACTATCCCTTTCCTGTCTTCTCCATTCCGTCTTTGCGTATTGCAGAGTTATCTTCTCTTGAGAGCAGGTATTGATTGTTACGTCATTTGTTTGTGAGAGGAACGTCATCAATTTTTGAGAAAAACGACGAAATTTTCACACACAAACCAATGACTTAACAATCAATACCTGCTCTAAAGAGAAGATAACTCTGCAATACGCAAAGACGGAATAGCCGCTAACCAAACCAGCATTCTCACGCTAATGCAAATTTCCGTCACCAACTTCTACCATTACCGACCATATACAACATGAACAATACTTAATTATTATGCCCGAGTTGTCAGTCTTTCTAGAATTCACGTAACAAATGAATATCTAATTAATCATTGAATGTCTGTTGACAGTGTCTGTCTACACTTGATTTAAAAATACTAATTATTGAGTTAGACAGCAAGCCATACCGAATTTATCTAAATCTAGGTCACAGATGCACATTTCCATCCATAATGTTTAACTGTCATTATATACATAACTTGTAGAACTATCCATTAATTTGGAAAAACGAATTGCAGAGTGCAGATAGTGTGAATGCGCGACAGATTTAAAGAAGTGGGGGTTCTGATATTGCATTTTGGCAGAAAACGATCAGTGTTTGGTTTATTTCCACACGTCTGTATCAATCACCCATCGTCCCATTGCTAAAGGGATGGGGGGCAATATATAAATGACCAGCGCAATAGCTAGACTGGGACACACACCAAAGACCTTCAAAAATACTAGTTGGACTCTCAACCAACTGGCTACGATAGCCCATATCAGCAAACAACTGACTTCTTAAAATAAGACACACATTTACATGATAGGCCTAGTTCTAATGAGGTTTGCTTTGAAGCATTGCGCAGAAAGTATGATATACAAGCAGTATGTGCACACATTCCAACAGTTCGCTTACCAGTGGGGCAAGTACAGTAATAGTCTTTGATAGGATCTGTGGATCATAAAGAATCCAGACATTGTATTGTGTT